AAACTTCAATGAATTCCACAGCGAACTGGCATAAAATAAGTTTGTGTTTCGAATAACTGGAGCGAAAATTGTAGCGACGTTCAAATCGATTAGGGTTTCATGATACAGGAAATTTATGATGCCAGTAAATGATTTATACAGTTGAAACGTTTGGTGTGATATGAATGCAACGAAATTCCACCAGAATAATTTAATAGAGCTGGCAGATACTTGATGAAAATCCATATTTATCACATTTTCCACTATTTGTGTTTCATCAACCATATTATTATCAGGAGGGGATCTGAAGTATTTGCCAAACGCTAACTCTGATAATGTAAGGTAAAAGTTCAGTTTCATTAAAAAAACTGTTTAAAATATTTTTTCAGTTAACCAGCTGTCGCACCCCTACGAACGACAACCCTCAAAAGTCGAGGTGAGGATTAACGAGGTCTTACCTTTTAACGTGTGATTACTAACGCGGGTTGGACGATAGCAAGTAAAAATCGATCGTTCAGACTGGGGCTTGAAGCACCGACCTACACGGCAGTCAATTCGAGTGAGTGAACAAAGCACCCACGTCGAACCGCCTGATTCATATATTAATGACTTCCCAGCTATTAATTTCTGGAGAAGCATCATTATTTTCTGAAACATCAAGTATTTCTTCCTATTCTACTCAGTTCGGAAGGTCGTGGGTTCGATTCTTGCCTCGACCAGATATTTTTCTCGAGAGAATTCATCTGAGTGAAGCTGGCATGATTCTGCAACCGTGTTAGGAATCACACGATAAAAGGTAAGACCTCGTTAGTCCTTAGCTCGCACAAGTTTCTCAACTTCTGAGAGTTGTCGTTCGTATGGGGGCGACAGCATACACATGGCTCAAAAACCAAAAAAAGGCTCAGAATGTGGAGTGTACTCCAGATCACTAAGCCTAAGGATTAAGTGGGGAATGGGAAGAAATACTAGCGTGGTCCAAACAGAACTGGCTGGTATCTCAATCGCCACAAAAGAAATAACCAAGAAAAGAATTTCTGGCAAAAACATAACAATGTGCACTGATAGCAGACAAGCACTATTAGCCTTGAACAGACACCGTGTTACTTCAGGGCTAGCACTAGAGTGCCACCAAGATTTAGCCAAAGCCTCGGTAGATAATAACATTATCCTGAGGTGGGTTAAAGGGCACGACAGGAGTAAAGGTAATCGCATTGCCGACTCTTTAGCCAAGGAAGCGGCTGGACTAAGAATTTTAGGACTAAGTGGCACCCACGGCCTGATGACTTCGACAATTGCGGAACTAGTCAAATGTTACACCCATGCTCAATCTTTAAAGAGATGGGATGAAATCAAAGGATGTAATCTTGCCAGGATCACCTTGGGCGACCCTGGGAAGCTGACGCCGAAGAAATATCTGGCGATGACCAGGAAAAATCTACGCCTTACAGTAGGATTTCTGACTGGCCACTGTCAGCTAAGAAAACACCTACATAATATGGGGCTAGTGGACACACCTCTATGCAGGATGTGTGAACAGGAAGATGAGACTGTCAGGCATGTCCTGTGCGAGTGCCCGGAGTTATCGTCAATAAGAGAGTGTGTGTTCGGCGAGTCTTGGCCTACACCTGCCGATATAAAGGAGATGTCTCCCAGCGACCTGTCCACCTTCCTGGAAAGGCTGGATGGACGACGACCTAGCAGGACAACTCCTCGGGAAGATGTACAATGGGTCACATGTGGCCTAAGTGCGTTGGCTTACACTCACCCTCCCTACTCTACAGATGGGGGCGACAGCGACAGAAAAATAGATTTTTTTTAAAACAGAAACTATGGCATGAGTGGTGAATTGATTGCCTTACTATTCACTCACAATAGAAGAAAAAGTATAGATAGAAATTAGCTTTCTTCTGTAATTGATGTAGATATTGGTGTGCCATAAGGTAGTATTTTTGAGCTATTCCTTTTCAATTCGTATTGAATTTGTGTATTTTATCAAGATTTCATGAACCCCTGTTCAGATGACACTTGTTAAAACGACAATTTTAAAACTGATTTTTCAATGATTCATTCTGTCTTCAAAAGTATTGATCTGGTGTACAATAAACCGAACGTGAATGTAATTATGCCTCAGCCAAAGCATTCACCAGCGACTTTTTCCTGTTCGCAAAATCGAATATTCTCATGCATATCAGAACTGCTTTGAAGATTAGAAAATACGCTGGAACAACTGTTTTATCTCTGAGGGAAAATACTTTGAAGGAAACAAAATAGAAATTGATGAAAAATGGAAATTCACCTCAGTTTTTGAACAGATAGTGTATGTTATTTATGACTAAAAATAATTTCATTTTATAGGTTCACATCTTGAGCTTTCAGACAAAAAAATCTGTCTTCAGAATTGAAAATCCATTTGATTATTATTCTATTCTCAAAATTGTTCTCCTTACTTCAACAGATGTCAAAGGAGATTTAAGATGCCAAAGGTATTGACACATTCAATGCGTTAAATGCAAATCTTTCTCTACACTCCACGAGCTGGAGCACTGTTTTTCAACGCGAGTTTCGATCACCGAGTAAGCATTATCAGGAAATGACCAAAACTTTCAAAAACATCAGTTACCTGATGATGCTAACTTGGTTGGAGAATCACATGTCAAAAGAGTGTTCTCGTTCTTGTATGTATGGAATATGTTTCATTAGATTTATTTTACACCATAGGTTTCAATTATACCCACCAATATACACCTGCCGGAGTGATGACCGGTGAGAAGCCCCTCCCTCAAGGTGTGCAGTAGATTTGTAGATCTCTGTTATCAGTTTGTTAGATTATTCGAGCCCTACTACGTGAAATTGCAAACAAAAGTTTCTATTTCTTTTTTCCTAATACTTTCTTTGTCATACACTGACCCAAACTTTGCGCAGATACGATTCCTCCCACCGGTCATGACTCAGTCAGATAGCTATACATATGTTTTCTGAAATTAATTTGTTACCATTCTGTCACTCTCCGTGTTTTTCTCCAAAAAGGGTAGCGAAATACGATCTATTATTTTTCTCTTTGGGAATATCTCTGTTCTAGTGTAAGGTAGAGAGAGTAGAAAAATGCGAGACGATTCTGCTTTTTTACACGCTTCATATTAGCTTCACCTGTATGTATGTATGTTTGTTTGTATATCAGTTTGTTTGTAACTCTCAAGCTCGAGATGTGTATTTGATAGAATTATCGACATTATTGCATGTACTTCTTCATTTGAAAAAATTATTTTTTTCATTAACACGCGCGCCTGTTGCCTTGGGGTTGATAGCTGATTTTCAGACTCGCTCTCCGGAAACGGAAAATATCAATAGTCATTTTTCTAAACAATAAACGGCTGATTAATCCCAAAGTTTAGATGAAATAGATACAGTTTAAAAAAACTAAAAAACATGCTTGCATAGCATACAAAACTGAAAAATGAAAAATAAATATAATTCAAAAAACTAAAAAACACGCTTTTAAACAACATCGAACTATAAAGTTGAAAATATATTTTTTAATAAGCTTAAAACAAGCTTAACGTAAGAAAAATACTAGTATTATTATAAAAAAAGCGTGGGCGCTTTTGTGCCATATTTTTTGTATATCAAACGCCCGTCGCTTTTTTCACAATAATACTAGTATTTTTCGTTCGTTATTGTTTTAAGCTTATTTAAAAAAATATTTATAACTTTTTTGTTCGATGTTCTTTAAAAGCGTGTTTTTTAATATTTAAACTATATTTATCTACTCTTTGTCTAGAAGAAACTGTAACCAATCAATGCCTGTAATATCTGGCAAAGATAACTGATAAATATAGTATCGAAAATAGGCCTTTTCATCATACAGACGACCGCAAGCATAGCCGTCATATTGAAATGGTGGTAATTCAAAATATTCGTACTGTTTTGATCAACAATGGCTGGGCAAGGAATATTATGTCTACAAAGAAATAAATTATTGGAAAAAACCATTGATGGTTCTTCACTTGTTTATAATTCAGTTGACGCTCATAATTGTGAACAATTAAAAAAGTGGTTAAAACGTCATGGGCGTCCGCAAAAAGGAAAAAATGTGAGATAATTGAGAGGATAGGTATCAGCATTGTTTACTATCTGAAAACATATAAAAAAAAGTATTTACAGTTTTATTCTTATTATTGATGTCAATTTATTTGATGTAATTGAAAATATATTCCAGCTGACACGATTATTGCTTATGGAACTGATAAATAAATCAAGCCAATAATATTTTGATTAATATGTACAATATTAATTAGACAAATATGTAGATACTGAATTGAATATGTTCAGTAATTTTTATTAGAGGAGAATTATTCAATACAACATAATATATATGAAATTCATGAAATTTACAGTCAAAAATGCAATAAGGAATAATGTACGTATGTTGAAATTCCTGATGGCTCAAAGGATCAGGGTTTTGTTCAGTTGGACCACTTTTTCCAATGAAATGTAGTGAGCAAATATAAGTATCCTTGGAAACATCATCAATAGATTTAATGCCTCGATCACTCCTGCCACATTTTTCCGCCCATAATTTACATTTCGCACATTTTTGCGCCTGCTTTAATATGTAATTTGCTTGAGGATTTGGTTATTTTTTTGCGATATTCAAGACAAGGCTTTGGAAAATGTATAAAATAGTATGTGTTGCTTTTGAATGATTTGTATCGTGTATCACTTTCACATACTCCATAACAACACCGTTCTGTTGTTCCTTTTCGTACAGATAACATAATTATAATCGAGTATAAACATTTTTTTCTGATTATTTTGACTTACTACTTTTTTTACTTTTTTTATAATCAATAAACTTCAATTTATATTTTATTTTTTAAAACATGAGTTGCGGGCTCTTCAACATGGTTGTTTACAAAACAGTAAACAGTACGAAAAAGATGGCTGATACTGACGCATGCGCACAAAAAATTTGTGATGAAAAGGCCTATAGAAACCCCACAGAAACTCAGATTTCCACTTACCGTTGGCGCTGTGAGAGAGAGTATAGCTTCGTTTAGGTGCTTCAGATTGAGAGTATTTCTGTCTTCTTCTTCTTGGTCCTCAGGCTGCACCTGGAAGGAGTTCTGCCTCGACGTGAAGCTGCGTTTGAGGGCTGCTCCGCCATTCTGCAGGGACATCGAGGAACGTCGAAATGGACACGACATCTCGATTATTGCAATGCTTCAGTGGTCATCTAGTGGGCTCTGTTGGCTCGAGGGTCTGCCAAAGACATTTTGGACGTTAGTACCTGGAGGCGTCTGGGGAGTGGTGACCTATAGAGGAAAAGTAACAATGTTGTTTCGTCTGATAATTCTATAGTTTTATACTATTTGAACAAATTTCCCACTACTCAAAACACGAATTGATACCTCATTCATTCGAAGACAACGGGCCAAGTTCAATGTCTAATCTTTCTTTTTCACTAAACAAAAGTTTGAATGTGATTAGTTTATATAAACTTCCAAGGGTGTAACGGTTAGAGCTTTCAATCAGATCTAATAAAAAAAGCGAATGTGCTTAAGTACACCACTGAAGTAAAATAGTTAGGAAATGAGTGAAACAATATTTGGGTGTGCAGCAAGCCAAAACAGTGTACTCTTATAACACAGAAACTTATCTCCCAAAAGAAACACTGTCAAAAGGTTTTTCTTAGAAATGATACATATAGCGCATTCTAATAATTCCTTGAATAAAAAAACCGATATGAATCTTCCAAGTGAAATTAACTCTTATTCAATTTGTATGGATATTTATGAAACGAAAGAAAATCATCAGGATTCTTCCACTAGTGGTCATATTATAGATTCAATCTTTCAGATATCTACGTACATCATCAGCACTTTAATAAAATTGTTGTATAGGAAATTCATTATGATAATTCATCTCACACAATTCCCAAATTGTTGTATTTTACTGAATCCAATTGTCACTAATTTACTTTATACATTTGAACTTTCATTCAGATGTCATATTAGCTTTAATGTGTAATCATATCTAAGTATATTGTAGTCACAGCCAAGCAGCACCCAAATTACTTGGCAACAGGGCTATGATTCGAGCCACAAAACATATATTTGTTGATGTCGAATGTTAATTTTAACTTGAGCTTTGTCATTGGCTGGCACTGCACATGTGCGTAATAATTACATGTCAGATGTCAATTTGGAATCTCCACAAGGTCTTCTTCAAAGAACAACAGATAGTTTCGCATTTCTCAAAAAAATTATGTATCATTTATGATGTAAATTGATTGTGTTTGTCTCGACTTTCTTGAGGTTATTTTTGGCCTCTACACCTATATATGTTGTGTCTACATTTCAATCATCCTAACCTCACATACACTGTAAGTTGGGTTTTTGACTGATCTCCAGTCATAGATCTAATCTTCCTTTTTATCTATTTTGTAGCATCCCTAATGACGATAATTTAGATTATCGAAAGCTTGGAATCTGTGTTATAAGAGTACACTGTTTTGGCTTGCTGCACATATGAATAAATACACATAATATTTCACTAGTTCGGAACTCCCATTGTCTACTATATAAAATGATTTGAAATCCCTGAAACAACTAAAAAAGAATAATTAAAAGTAAATAGCTGAAAATAACAATTATATTAAGCAAAATAAACCTGGAATGGAATAATAGTGAAATAAACTACAAGTAGAAATATAACAATTGAATAAATAAAAATAAAGGAATGAAAAAAGAAAATAAAAAGTGTAGAGACTGTGAATCGCTGGCTTATTTATGAGAGCCGTGATTGTTGCCAAATCCAATTAATGATAATATATGATTGCCAGATTTTTTAAGAAGACTACTCATGAGGAACGTCGAACGGTCAATTCTAAATAATATACAACCATTTGTTTGCCAGTAAAAAACTAATAAGTTCAGTCGGATCATTCTCCATCAAGGCAAAGCGAGCATGCGCACGTCGTCCTCTGCATAGTCCTGACTTGGTACCAGTGACTTTTTTCATTGCGTGGATGAGAATTCTTGTTGGCAGAAGAAGCTTCAGATGAGTTCAAAATGCTCATTTTGAAGATATCTCAAGTGGTGCGGAAATATGTTGTGACAAATGGTTCGAAACATTGCAACCGCAAGAAACAACATTGCAAGAAAGCCGTAAACCACCATATCCTTAAATATTTGGAAGGCTTCAACATCTTGAGCAGTCATCAACATGCTTTCCGGAAATAAAAATCAACAGGCGACCTTCTATTATGTGTCACCCATATTTGGAATAACGCAATCAAGAAACATGGAGAGTTGTTCCGGTCTGGAGAGGGGGTATTGGTATAGTATTTCAGACTAGTAAAATATGGCATAATCCATATTTGCCAATTTTCATTTGACAAGAACTGTTCAACTCTTCACGTATTTAAAAATATTCAACGTATTTTCCAAGTTAGCAAAAGCAAAATATTACTCCGGACCCTTAATGTAATTCCAAGATTTCAGTTTCCGACAAATGCAAACTCGAAACTAATGCATCCAATTTCAGGGAGATCTTCACAACTTTCGTTTCATCTAAAGCACCCGCTTCTTCCACTTGTATTTTGTTGTGGAAACTTGTAAAACAATTACCCCTACTTTCAAACTCCGAAGAGTGGTGATAAATTTTGAAGTTCACTTATATTGTGACTCGTATGAGATAAATATATTACCTGCTGTCTTCAAAAGTTATCGCCGGATCCATCATGAATATTAAGGGTCCCATTTCCTTCACGGTGAAGTTTATGAACAGTTAAAACGAGTATGAAATTTCATGGCACTCGATATGAGTTTTAGTGTGACTTCTTTCTTGGTGCCACGTTCATATAATATATCAAAAAGCATTCCACAAATAGGATTACTCAATTTCGATCGAAGAATGATGACATTCTCTTTGTTGTTCACAACAGGTTTGCGTGACATTTGTTTGTTACGTTCAAAGGAAAGAATTGGAACGAACTGCCATTATTTTGATGAAAACTGATTTTTAACTGATTTTCGGAGGTTAATACTTTCAGGCTACTGTGTTAGTCGCTTCTGTGATTGCATGAAAGATGAACAATCTTAGGACTTTTCCTCTTGATATGTGGTTATTTCACGAAATTGCACATTCTCTTCTGAATCAAATAATGTCTTCAACTTGAAAAAATCGCGGCAGGATGATCAAACAAATATAAATACCTTACCCCGCATCAGGCAGTGATTTCTCAACGAAGTTTTCACCAAAAGATATAAAAAACAAACTGTTTCTACAGTATCGATGAATATCTTGCTACTCAAACCAATCAAAGTGTAGTTATGATATTATTTTTTTTGTGAAACGTGCTTGATTGATCTTGTATCTATTTTGTATGTGTCGTCTTCAAATTTGATACTACCTCTGTAACTGTCTGTATGTCAATTCAGTTTGTTCTTTAATTTTGGCGTTCTATTTGCCATTTGTTTATGAACCATTCATTTAGACCTGAGTCTCCTTCGGAAAGATTATCGCTGTTCCTTCCCAATGATTGTTGAAGTTGTTGTTGAAGTACAAGTCCCATTAACCTGATTTTTCATCTACTTCTGAAGGCTTTCTCAGTCTAACCCTTGCTAGATCTACATTTCACCAGACAATGCTCCTGTTTGACTGTAGGGCTATGATTACATTTATCCTACTTCTGTAGGAAATTGAAAACGATATGAAACGAAGTGTCTATGTTGATTGTACCTAAAAATGACAGCATTATGCCAGTCTCGAAGTCTCGAGAATCCCTCATTTCAGCGTCCTTTCCCCTTCAATATCGAAGTTTAGGCAAGTTTTAAGGGCAAAACACAAGCACTATAATCAAATTCCCATGGCTCCCTGAAAGCGATGCCTGTGCAAAAGTAGCGATTCACATTGAGTTTGAATCGCTGGAGATGAAATCATTTGAAAAAAGTTCTCAGGAAGTTTATTCCACGTGAACGCAGTTCTCCGAATGGTAGAGTTCTTGAACAGTGAAGTTTGAGGTGTTCTGAGTTGAATCTCAAAACGATGAGCAGTCACAGTCCGTCACGTATTTCTGATGCTCTTGGTGGAATCAATTGTGCCAAGTTACTGGGACACTTCCCGTGAATGAAAAAAGAAATAGAAATAGGGATAAATCTTCAAACTTTCTTCGATGTTCCAGACTATCAAAATTGCAAGTGATGTCTGCGTCTCCAATCAGGCGGAAGGCTCTTTTCTAGATGGAATTCAGCTCTATACATGAGAACAATACTCCAAGCGAGGTCTGATCTGAGCTATATAAAACATCAAAAGTTGCAGAAGTGTGTACAGATTTCTGGTTCGGAACAGTGTTACAAGCTTTTAAGAAACAGCCTTTGAAATTCCAGTGACATGATTGTGCCAAGACATATTGGTGTCCATTTTAACCCCCAACAAACTCATCGAAGCAGAAAGCAGGATTGTACATCCTGAAATTTCATACCCAGTTAGGAAACATTTATCTTTTTGGGGAAAACCGATGCCTGGGTTTTTATGGCATTGGCTACTTCCACCCCAATTAGACCAGCTACAACTACCAGCTACCGACCAGAAGGTTCTAGATCTGTTGGGATTGGCAAGCAGTTTATCTCTGATTGTGAAGTCATTGCTTTCATTTATTCTAAGTTGGTAGCTGTTGCGAGCATTAACAAACTTAGTTCGGTTTTCGGCACTGCGATTTTTGCACCACTTTTGATAAGCGAGATTTTTGAAGGCTAAGCTTTCTCGCGATGTTTACTTATTTCTACACTCTCGTAGGCAATTTATATGCCTGTTGTTGTTAACTTGTCTTAATAATCTCAACGAACTAAAGTCCATGTGGGATGGTTTCTTTGCAAAATATGATGGGCGACTGCTGATTTTTCTGGTCTTCCATATACAGCTTGTTGAAATAATATTTCAATTATCAGATTTAAGTGACTATTAGATAGGAACACATTGTAAAATCAATTCAAAAAAGTATATAAGGCAACAATGTGAAATTAATTTAAGTCACTCATGACATAAAAATTTTAACCAACCTGCTGTTGGTTAAAATTTTTATTCTGATTAGAACTCTTTTCAAATATATTTTTGAAAAGCGTTTTGTACTGAGTAATCAACTCACTTTTTCATTTTTCACCTACCTACTCAAAATCGGAGATACTGTTTATTGTCTCTGTCAACAATACGCTGGAAAGCTTTCTCACACATACTTCAAGTAATCTCTCCATCATTCACTGATGTTTTGAAGTAATTTCCGGTCGACATATTCTCCAAGAACTGACCTCTT